TCTCTCATTCCAATTAGTATTTCACATTGTTTGGGGAGAACAAAACAACCGCAAGCACAACAATGTCTTTCGCACAACTCAAGAACTTACTAGACATATAGAAAAGTTGATCAGAAACAGAGTCTCCTCCTTGAGTCACAAAAATGGGGAATTCTATAGCACCATGATGATTGTGTGGATGGAAAGAACCACTTAACCTTATAAGTTTTTCCTGCTTCTCAGTTTAATGCTTTTACTCTACAAAAGCTTTTCGAAACTTTGCGTATTATAAACATTTTTTTCTTTGTTGATAAATAAATTTAATATTTCAACAAACAAAAACACTAAACCCTTGGATAAAGTTTATCCAAGGTTTTAGAGGCACGGATTAAGGATTTAGTTAACACTAATTCTTAAACACTAAACACTAAACCCTTGGATAAACCATAAACTCTAGGGTTTAAAATTTATTCAAGGGTTTAGGGGTTTTAGGATTAAGGATTTAATGTTTTTAAAATTTAGTGTTTAATTTTTTTGATTTAAAGTTTAGGATTTATCTGAAAACTTAAGGTATATCCAACGTTTTAGTGTTTTGGTGACGATGTTAAAAATCTTAAAAAAAATATTTCTTTGCAACTATTACTATATTTTATTTATTTTTATCTTTTTATTTTAAAAATATAATATAATTTGATAATATATTATTTTCTTTTTATAAAAAAATATAAAATATATAATAAAATAATTATATTGATTGGTGAATCTAAAAATTCACCCTAAAATGAGCCAAAGAATAAGTCCATTTATTATGTTTAGTTTGTTCTACTTAACCACCTAAATATGTCTTTCGCACCCAGAAAATCACACATGCCTTTTCGATATTTAGTTTTTTTTGTTAATGTTACAGTTAGATATATGTGAATACTATATTGCCTTTAAGATCACGTAATTGTGTAGTGAAATGCTTATTTAGCGATGACAAAGGTTCATCTTGTGGGGAGAAGCTTTGTGACATGCAAGACTTAAGAGTTGATTAGAAAGGAATCTAAATGTAGAACCACAATTTCTACGATATGATAAACTGAATAATTTATTTATATAGTGATAAAAATATAAATAAAATAAATAATATTTGATACCAAAATACGATGAACAAATAACGGTTTTGTGTGGGGAGAAGCTTTGTGACATGCAAGATTTAAGAGTTGATTAGAAAGGAATCTAAATGTAGAACCACAATTTCTACGATATGATAAACTGAATAATTTATTTATGTAATGATAAAAATATAAATAAAATAAACAATATTTGATACCAAAATACGATAAACAAATAACGGTTTTGTGTGGATGCGAGACACTCTTTCCTTAATTCTTTAATTTTCCGTAGTGTGACGATGTTTACATAATCAGAATCTTAGGATACAATCACACTTCGACTATTCCACACCATTCAGAATAGAAGTTAACGAACCTATTTTTCTGTTGTACTCTCATACTCAAATTAAAAAAATAAAATATAAACTCCAACGCATTCATATGACGCAATGTGACTTTTCTTTTGATATTGTTGTGTGTGTTTTTCTATCATGCTACCAAGATATTTATATAGAAAACTAATCAGAAGTACAAGTTTCATTTTAAACATAGAAATGAAACATCTATGGTGCCCTAATGGAGACTTTAAATCTTGTCATCTATTTTGTGAATTTATTTTACATTTTGACTAATAAATTAAAGAGTAAAGATATTATTATTTGAATAATTCAAACAAATAATAAACATTAAAATGAATTTCTTTTTTATTTTATTAATATAATAGATCAACATATATTTGGTTTATAAGATTAAGTTAATGAACATAAAGTTCAACTAACAAATCAAAACCCAAATTCAATCAAATATCTAATGCGTGTATTTATTGGGGGTGATTGGTTGGACTGTAACTGTAGAAATTTTACTGTAGAAATTAGTCTGTAGAAATTTTGGATGTAGCTGTATCTAATGTAGCTGTAGAAATTAAATGAAAAAAAATAAAAAAATAAAGATATTCCTACAGCAATCCTACAGCAGTATTTTTTTGCTTTTCAAAATGAGACTCCTACAACCATTTTTAAAAATTTTTGACTTTAGCTTTAAAAACTAGTTAAAGTATGAATGGTGATTTATATGGTTGTAGATAGAAAATAAAGCTAAAGTCACTACTTAAAGCCCAACCAATCATCGCCATTATTTTGTATAAATTTCTCAAATCACACAAATTAGACCTTTTACCTCTCGTTCAAATGAAATTTGTTTTTAACATACAAATACACTATTCTTAATGTCCAAAAAAAAATACTTCCAGCACTAAAAGTTCTGGACATCCGGTTGTCCTTTCAAAAGATCTTTTATGTAAAGCAACCATGATTTAATTTTCAAAACTGAATCTAGATTAAAAAAAATTGAAAACTAAACCTATATTGGCCTTGAAATCTGTTTTCTAGAACTTTTGGACTTGATTGGAATAAGTGGTAACTTTATTTTGTATTTTATTTTTTGTAAATTTTTTTTGCTGTAAGTATACATTTTGGTTGTAGAATTTTGGTTGAGGTTCAAGTAGATTAATTTAGAGCTATTTACTTATAAATTTCCGATAGCCAAGATATAGGTGTTCTAGGTATTTTTTTCTTTTCTAAAGGTAAGAATCTTTCTAAAGCATGATGAGAAGAAGTTTATGATCTAAAAAAAAATCTTGGTTGTTGAAATATTCTAAAACACTTTTATATCACTTGCATTTGGAAAAAAAAAATTTGATTTCACTTGCCAATCATCACGTTTATTTAGTGTGTTGGATATTTTTAGAATTAAATCTTAGCAATAAAATAAATAAATTTACGGCTAAAAAATTACAGTCACGCCAACATTCTAAAATAAAAAATATTACTGCACCGACCAATCAAGTCTTTAGACTTTCTTTTAAATGATATGTGTGATTTTAAATGGATAGCTCATTTATAAATATTAGCATATTTGAATAGAATACAATAAACAGGAATTCATTTTGAAATTTTCAAAAATAAAAATAGGGAATGCATCTATACTATTAAAGCAGAATCTCTTATAGGATTCTGCCATTAGTTTTTGAGTTATTTACAAAGAAATGCCATTAACATTTAATTCTAATACAAATACAATTATTATTTATTTAAAATAAAAACAGAATATTCCCTATATTTATGCCAAGTAATACTTTCCATATTTTATGAAAGATAATAATTCTATTTTATAGCATTCTATTTTATAGGATTCTGCCATTAGTTTTTGAGTTATTTACAAAGGAATACCATTAACATTTAATTCTAATACAATTATTATTTATTTAAAATAAAAACAGAATATTTCCTATATTTATGCCAAGTAATACTTTTCATATTTTATGAAAGATAATAATTCTATTTTCTCTGGAAATTATAGTCTCTATTTAATTTGAATATCCTTTATTCGTGCGCATAATATTATTTAACATTCGAATATGAATATATACATGAAACTCTTTTTAAAAATTATTTATTGTGTCATTTGTACATAATATTTATATTCCAGTTTCGAGTATTCAAAAATATTTTAAAACTTATATTGGATTAAATATTAGATCTAAAAAATAAAAATATATAATAGGTTATTAATAACAAAAAAAAACTAATATTGTCATATCAATAATTTTTTAAATTACCATTTTTAAATTTATTTGGATGATATAATAAAATTTTCATCAAATTCTTAAGAATTTAATTTTATATAATATTCAAACATATGAGTTATTTAATCAAAAATTTTGAACTATAAGGTGTTTGGATTTTTAACAAATCATCAGATATCATATCATGGATTAATAAGGGATTTTTTAGATTTTCATTGGGTTTTATCGAATTATTAGTTAACAAAGATTACCAGATCTATCAGTTTAACCATGGGTTTATATACTAATAAAACCTTATAAATTGTAATAGAACATTTTTTATATGCTAATAAAACAATTTTTAAATTGCTTATTTTCTAATACATGTTATAAACTAAATCAATTTTATCAGAATTGTAAAAATATTCACGCGCTTTACGGTCATATCTAGTTACTATTAAGATGACTGTGGGTTGTTAATTTGTTTAAAGGGAGCTTTTCTACGAGATTTTTAAGGTCAAGGGTCATCGTTAGGATGTGGGCTTGCTTCCTACAATTTAGTTACCCTACTGGCCCTACCTTTTTCCCTTTGATAACTACATCACCTTTTTGGTTTTCCCTTTGTTAAAATCCTCACAATATCTACACAATGTACATAAATAAGGTCGTGAAACATATAAGAGATCAAGATAGATTTTTAAAAATATTTACATTCATGATTTGGAGTTTTAATAGTGTACGTATTTTTTCGTTCTAGAAAAGATACTGAGTAAATGGACGAAGCTACGAAGGTACCATTCACATAATTGTCGTTTGTAGATAGGATGATATGTTATTGAAAACGACAAGCGAAATCAAATAGCTTTACAGAGAGGCTCGTCTTTAATTCGTACACAAATTACCTAATAACAAAGAAATGTAAATAGAAAAACTATAACAAGAGTTGAAACAAGTATTTAGCAGAAGAACTTAACATTTAGACCCAAAAAAAAAGTATTGAGAAGAAAACGAAGGTGAAATAATCATTAATTTTTAAAAAGTGAAATGTAAAACTAAAATTTCATTGGTCATACTCTTATTTAAACTTTTCTCTTATTTTAAACCAATAAATGAAAATAAAATGGAAAACTATAATAAGAATTAAATTTATTGATCAAGAAAACAAAAAAGGTGTACAAAAGACACATGTGTTCTCCTCATGCATCTTGTTTTAGGACAACAATCCTCATATATATATTGACTCAGACTCCTCTAGCTCTCTCATTCTCCAACTTTCATATTGGTACAAATAAGTTTTTGTAGAAACAGTACATGCTCTGTTCTCTGGATCTTGATTCTTGATTTAGATAATCTTGATCATTATGTCAGAATCTATGAGCATATCAGTGAACGGACAGTCTCAAGTGCCTCCTGGGTTCAGGTTTCACCCGACCGAGGAAGAGCTGCTGCAGTATTATCTCCGGAAGAAAGTAAATAGCATCAAGATCGACCTTGACGTTATTCGCGACGTTGATCTCAACAAGCTCGAGCCTTGGGATATTCAAGGTTTATTTATAAAAATCATTATTTTGTATAAGATGAATAAACTTCTGTATGGGTTAATTTTCTCCCTTTTCAAAATCTCTCTTAGTTCAGTTTTTAAATGAGTTTACTTTTATATGTGTTGTCTTGTATATAGTTTTTTCGATACACGATGTTCACATGTATCCTGTTAAGTTGTTGTTGCTTACTAATATTAAGAGTTAGTTTTTTACTACACAGATCCATAATAGGCTTGGTTGGTTAACTATATAATTTACATTAAATTTATTCTGATTGCTTTTGTCGTTATATGCAGAGATCTGTAAAATAGGAACAACGCCTCAAAACGACTGGTATTTCTTTAGCCACAAGGACAAAAAATATCCGACGGGGACGAGAACTAACCGAGCTACGACTGCCGGATTTTGGAAAGCAACAGGCCGCGACAAGATCATATATAGTAATGGCCGTAGGATTGGGATGAGAAAGACTCTTGTTTTCTACAAAGGTCGAGCTCCTCATGGCCAAAAATCTGACTGGATCATGCATGAATACAGACTCGAAGACAACATCATTTCCCTTGAGGATGTCACCGTTCATGAGGTATGTATCAATTTCATAACGTTCATACGAGTTATATTTTAGTCTATTGAATATGCTGAAACTGTTATGTCTCATTGTACATCACAGTTTTGGTCTTTTAATTTTGATTATGAGCCATTGACCCTTATAAAAGTTATTACTAATTACATGTACTAATATTTTCGTCAAGATAATATTTTGTATCAAGTATTGTCGTGATTTCCACTTGAAATGTATCATCAAAACTGTCATATGTACATATATATTTTAGAAATATAGTTTTGTTTAAATGATTTAATTATAAATACAAAGATATAGAAAGACACAATATTTCTTATGAAAATTACAAAATACTATTTTTAATACAGTTCTATTTCGATAATTACAACAAAAAAAAACTTAAGAAAGCATGCATGACTCACACGATTTGCAAGTAAAGCGAATAAGCAAGCTTTATTGAATAGGTGATCTAAAGTATGAATTTCTCTGATAAATTTTGTTTTTAATTTTTAATACTTAAGGTGGTGGGTATTATTGGGGAGGCATCACAAGACGAAGGATGGGTGGTGTGTCGTATTTTCAAGAAGAAGAATCTTCAGAAAACCCTAAACAGTCCCATCGGAGGAGCTTCCCTGAGTGGCGGCGGAGACACGGCGAGGACTTCGTCCTCATCTCATTTCTTCAACGATGATAGTCTCGAGCAATTCCTAGAACTTATGGGGAGATCTTGTAAAGAAGAGCTAAATCTAGACCCTTTCATGAAACTCCCAAACCTCGAGAGCCCTAACAGTCAAACATTCAACCACAACTGCCATGTCAGTTCTCCGGACACTAATCATGGTGTCCAAGTCAGCAATGTGATCGACACTAGCTTCGTTACTAGCTGGTCCGCTTTAGACCGGCTTGTGGCCTCGCAGCTAAACGGACCCATATCGTACTCAATCGCAGCCGTCGATGAGAGCCAGGTAGATCAAGATCACCTCGTCTTACCTTCCCTCCGATCTCCATACCCTATCCTAAACCGGTCCGGTTCATACCACGACGGTTTATCGCAGGAACATCCAGCGGAGATGGAGCTATGGAACACGACAACGTCATCTCTATCATCATCGCCTGACCCATTTTGCCACGTGTCTAACGGTAGTGGATAAGGAAAATGGGAAAGGGAGACACACACAGAGAAGACATTTCACATTTGTGTAGAAAGATATAATCATACCATATAGTTGTTGAGGCATTAAAAAGGGAAGTCAGATTTGTGATAATTACAGTGGTTATGTGAAAGATTGTAAAATAGATGATATAAAACTAAAAAACTTAAAAAGAGAATAAAGATCTCAAAAGGAGAGATTTCGTTATAGATGGGGTTACAATTATGTATCAATATCATTAGAATATTTGTACTCCTTACCTATAACATTTACTATATTTGCACTTCATATCCAATTTCCCTCCCAATTTTTTTCCCTCCATCTTCACTATTTCCCCACAATTTTAGGCATTTTCTTAATTACTACATTCTCCTTTTTAAGCCAATTCACCCATATCATTATTCAAAATGTCTTCCATTGATTTATTTAATGATTTTGCTTCTAGAAGATTAAATAAACAGATTGTAACACATGATCGCAAAAGGAAAATTTTTTTTTCCCAGGAACTAATATTTGGAAAGTAACTGAAAGGATACTATACAATTTGTCCAGTCGTCCAAATTAGTAACTTAAAAACACACAGATTTTTCACAATTTCTCTCTCTACTAATAGACGCTTAAAAAAGAATTTTGGGTTCGGAAATGGGCGCCGTCGAGGGTGGTCTCACACGACCGTTGAAAAATACCTACCATGGAAAAGAGGAAAAAACGCACCATCTCATCTCTCCCTCTCTCTTCAAAGTTTTCTCGTTATGATGTTGCTTCGTCACGAGCTGTGAAATCTTCTTCCCGAACCCAGACACATGATTCCATGAAAGGTCCCAGATCCGTCGGTCCTGTAGCCTCGAATCTCGGTCGCGACCTCCCATCAAATTCGTTCACTCAGGTCGAGTCTGTTTCTGCTCAAGATCTCTCCCAAGAATCAAATAAAGTCTTCACCACCGGGCCTCTGGGTACAAAGTAATGGTGCTACTTCAGATGCGGTACCCACCCCTTCTTCTTCTGGGGATGTTCTCGCCAAAGAGTATTCAGCAAAGCCTCCGCTTCCTGCTGAGATACCTTTGCAGAGTAAAGCGATAGCTGTTAAAAAACAAGTTCACAGAACATAAACCATCTCCGGAAAAGCTCAAACGCCCTTCACTGCAAAGAATGGGATCAAAAATACTCGGAGGTAATACATAAATCATCTCTGTTAGAGGAGATTGGAACTCCGACTAAACACATCTCTGGAGCTCTGTTCATTTTGATTCCTGATGAGAATGCAGAGGAAGCAAAAGAGGAGTTTCAGGACTTTCGCTTTGCAAGATTCCATGGGCACGCTCTGGATATGGGTAGAATAATTGGTGTGGTTAATGCTATCTGGAGTCACTCTGGCCCACAAATCTTTGTGCACCGATTGAGTTCCTTGACGTTCCTGCTCAGAATCACTAGCCCACGTACTCGAGCTATGGTGCTTGCAAGAAGTGTTTGGATAATAGCAGGGTTGCCGATGTATGTAGCGCCTAGGTCTCCAGAATTCTCACCAGAGGAGCCTCAGATCTCTACAGCAGTAGTGCCTATTCAACTTAGAGGAGTTCCGTATCTGCTCTTTAACTTATCTGTTGCTCCCTGTGAAATGCGACAGCTGTGGAAAATTTGGGCATGCATCTGCGAGGTGTCCGAGCTCACAAACTGAACCTCAAATGGATGCTTCTTCCCAATCTCATAAGACTGGAAGATCTTCTAGCAAGGAACCAAAGGCTAGGAAGAACTCAAGGCCCGTAGGTCCCGTAGTCAAAGGAGGAGGCGATCTATGGCTCGTGCGATCTCTACTGGGAAAGAGTCAACTTCTGAAGTGCAAGTGGAAGCATCTGTTTCTGATCCTGGTATTCAAACTGATGCACTCCAAGCAGACCCACCCAATACGGTATGATATCCTAAGGGGCTGGAAATACATCCCTCTGAGGCTGGATCAATTTCTGATGGAATGGAACCAGGGGCAACATCTCAGACTGTTACTTGTGGTTTCTTTATGCCCCTGGAAGATATAAGTCTAATGGTAACTTATGTCTATGGTTTCAACGAAGTGGAAGAAAGGAGATCCTTATAGGAGGAATTGGAGTCTATAAATTATACTACAGCAGCTCAAAATTATCCTTGGGCTGTCGTGGGAGACTTTAATCAGATTACTAGAGCATCTCAGCATTCTAACCATTTAATTTCTGCGATCGATGTTTCAAGAATGGAGAATATGAACTTATCTCTTCAGGAATCAGAGCTATTTGAAGCGCAACACAAAGGATTATCCTATACATGGTGGCATAATCAGGAGGCTAACCCGATATCATAGAAGATTGATCATGCTTTCATTAATCAAGCATGATCGTCTCGGTTTTCAGAAGCGTATACGAAGTTCCTAGAGCCAGTGTAATCAGATCATTCCCCATGCTTGTTCCACGTTCCGTCGGCCCAGAGACGTGCTCCTAAGCCATTCAAATTATTCAACTACATTATTGACCATCCTTCCTTTCTGGAAACAGTTAGTCAATCTTGGCACCCTGAAGCTATCATAGGGAAGAATCAGTACAACCTAGCAAGGTCTCTAAAGATTTTGAAGAAAGAGTCGAGATTGTTGAATAAAATGCACTATAGTGGAAGCACTCAACTGGTTAAGGAACATGGGAGCTGGTGAAACCGGTTCAGGATGAGGAGGTTAGGAGGACGGTGTTTGCAATGCCACTGGAAAAAAGTTCAGGTCCGGACGGTTATAATGTGGAGTTCTTGAGAGCATCATGGACTGTTGTTGGCCCTGATGTAGTTAAAGCTCACTCAAAGAGTTTTTCCAAAATGGTAGGCTTCTTAAAGACTTGAATAGCACAACAATTGTTCTAATTCCTAAGTCACCAGAAGCATCGTCACCGGGAGAGTATCTCCCTATCAGCTGATGCAACATTATCTACAAGATAATCTCTAATATTATTGCGAAGCACCTTAAACCGATCCTCGAGGTGTGTATCAGCAACAACCAAGCTGCTTTCTTAAAGGGTCGCAGCTTATGTGAGAATGTGCTACTTGCATCTGATCTTATCATTGATTATGAGTAGAGCTCATGTTCTAAGAGTTCGATGCTAAAAGTTGATATCCGGTAAGCGTTAGATACAGTATCGTGGGATTTTGTAAACAAGTTGTTAGTTGCCCACGGGTTTCCACTGTTGTTCAGAACATGGATTCAAGAATGTATTACCACTTCCTTCTTCTCTATTTCGGGGAATGGCGAGCTAGCTGGGTTCTTTCCGGAGAAGAAAGGTTTGCATCAAGGGGATTCTATCTCTCTTTACATCTTCATCATGGTAATGGAAGCACTCTCAAAGCTCCTTGAGAGATCTGTTGAACAGAGCCTCATTCGGTTGCATCTGAATGTTCAAATCCACTGATATCTCACTTGCTTATCGCTGATGATTTGTTGTTGTTCTCAGATGGTTCTCGTTACTCCTTAACAGGTATCATGGCGGTTCTCTCTGATTTTAAGAGATATTTCGGGTTGGATATGAACCCCACCAAGTCTGAGCTTTTCTTTGGTGGCTATCTACACATTGAGAAGAAGGTTCTAAGTGATTTATTTGGTATTAAATTGGGAGATTTTCCAACGAGATACTTGGGACTGCCGCTAAAGCCAGACCGCATCTCTCTAGGCACTCACCAACCTTTTATTGATCAAATAAAGGGCAAGTTTCATTCATGGATAACAAAGTTCTTGTCTTATGAGGGAAAGATCTGATTGATTGCTTCGGTGATATATGGGAAAGTAAACTTTTGGAGTTCAGTGTTCATGATAGCTATTCCTCCATCGGAAAGCTTCTTTGGTAAAGACAAGTATTTATGGCTACAATCTGATGGGTCCTTTGGGGCCTCATTTTCAACCAAAGCTACTTGGGATCACATCAGAGAATCATCTTCTATTCAACGATGGAGCAAAATAGTCTGGTTTAAGGAGTAGATACACGGAACTCATTTATGTCTTGGATTGTCATGTTGCGTCGTCTACCTATTCGCGATAGGCTAAGACGGTGAGGAATGAATGTGTCTGAGCAATGTGTGTTATGTAGTTCCGGAGTAGAGATACATCATAACCTCTTTTTGAGTGTGCTTATTTTTCAGCTATGTGGCTTTATTTTGCAACCAGAGTTTGGCCTAACCCGCCTCTTAATGTGCACTCGGCAGACGTTGATTGGGGTCTCTCGAGCCAGCTCTTCTCTCCAGTCAGGATGTATTATCAAGCTTGTCTTTCAATCTATCATCTATCATATTTGGAAGGAGCGCAACGGTAGGATCTTCATACCCAAGTTTTCTCCGTCAGCCATTGTTCGAGCAGCAGTGAAAAGATAGATCATGAACTGTCTCCTCTTCATTCCACCATCTTCTTGTGTCTAATCTTTTATCCTTCAATTTTTCTTTGTTTGTATTGGACCACTTTAAGGTGAACTTTCTTTTTTGTTATGAATTATTGCGTTGTTTTATTATAATAAGTTGTTAAGCAACATATAAACATTTCAGAAAAGATATATATGAAGTAAATTGATTACCAAAAAAAAAATAGTAACGGAAGAAATTACATTTATCTTAATATAAAAAATTATACCTATTATATCTATTACTTATATTGTCAAAGAAAATAATATATATGATCTCATCTTAAGTTCCATCAATCAATTCTTTGTTCAGTTTTAGGAGATTACGACTATCATTAATTAATGGCAACAGATAGTAGTATGTTCTTTTGTTCATACTCAAGAAGGTTAAAACACACACACACACGTAACAGTAGAGTTATTTTTTTGGTCAAAAACAGTAGCGATATTTCGAACTCTAAATCAATCATTATCTATTAATCGATAAAATATAGTACCGAGTGATGTGGTACTGAAGATAAGGTAACCTATTATTCTTCTTGAGTAACAGTGTATTGATTACACACATGTGCACCCAAATTATTTAGCTAAGAAAATATTATACTTTGAAAATATATATAACACTTAAGAAAAAACGATTATGTTTATATAATCAAGTCTTTTATGAAAGAAAAAAATGCTTATAATTTTGTTTTGCTTAATTCAAAACCATTTTTGTACTGATCGAGAAAGTGGAAAACAATAATCAAAATAAAT